TCTACATCTGCCACCAGCAACTGCAGGAAGCAGAGATGACTGATACGAGATCTAAGTGAACTGAGCTCCTTATGCATCCAAGTAAGTCTTGCAAGGGCCTCTTCCTTCCATATTGTCTCCATGTAATACTTGTTTGGGGCTGTAATTCAAGCATTAAAGAGTTTCTTTTGGAAAGGAACTTTGGAGATCTTTGGTCCAAGTCTTTGCTCAAAACAGGGCTAACCATCGAGGCCAGACCAGGGACTTACCTGATCTTAAGCACCTCTAAGTTTTCTCAATGTTCTCCAGAGAAGTGATTCAATTCTATCAGAATTTCCCATGTTTAACTTGGCTGCCATCTCTCATCCTGTCCATTTACCTTTGAGAAGACTCTGGCTGTTTTCTCTGCACCATGCAATTACATAGGTACAGACCACAAGGTCCCCTGACATCCTCCTCTTAAGAAGAAACAAAGCCAGTTCCACCTCTCCTCGTGCTCCAGGCACACAGCATCTCCGTGTGCCAAAGGAAACAAGAAATGGGACACGATTCCAGCTGCATCCTCACCAGTTCTACTCAGCCACTACTTACACGAGCAAAGGGTCCCTAAATAAATCAATACCACCATAAAGAGCAAACTAAGATGCACCCACCTGCAAGATCTTAATTCCAAGCAGCAGCTTAATGAGGCTTTCACAGTATGAGTGCACCAGAGTCCTGCAATGTGAAAGATTCCACTGCAGTCATAAAAGCACATGAGGAGAGCAGACCACCTCTGCCTATTACTTCTTTTTTTTTTTCAAATCCACTTACATATGTATATATATCACAAAAGCACCCCCAAACCAAAGAGATGGTACATTAGGGTATATACTCCTTACTCAATCATTGCCAGGAAAATACATTTTCAGGACTTCTAAGGCCAGAATTCTTTTATAAGTGCAAAATGAAAATCAGTTGCCAGGTTTTAACAAATTCCAATCCTAACCATCTCATCATTACCTTTGCTGTGGGAGAATTTCCAATGTTTTAGAACATAGGAAAGTTTAGAAATCTAAAGGCATTCCATTAAAAAAATAAAAGTTACATGCTGGCTGGATGTTCCTAACCCAGCATCACAACAAACTGAAGGCTTCAGCTGCCATAAAGCCAGCAGTTGGGTGTGAGAAAGGTTTCCCAAGCGTATTAGAAAGGGGAAAACACTCAACCCAAAAGATGACAGGGTCTGCTTCTTCAGAATGAACCTGAAGACTCAGGTACAGTGCTGAAAGCACTGTTAGTTCAGTGTATTTTGGCCAAGAACAACAGCAATGGAAAGCTTTGGAATAGCGAAATAATTGGATCTTGCAGTTAAATGCCAGGGGACTCAGCTCATCCCACGGGCAGCTTGTAAGTTCTGTGACTTACCACTTCACAATTACTGCTTTTAGTAGGGAACTGCATTACACTGGCCAGTGCTGCACAAGGCACAGGTCTTGTCATGCATCAGCCAGAGCTGTGGCTTTTCCCTCCACTCAGCTCAGTGCTATAAGGCATTAAGTACAGACCAGCTCTGACCAAAGGGGAGCACAAAAGTACATTTTCCTAACCTTGACCCCTCAGTCCGTGCAGGAGTGCATGGCAAGAGGCAGTTCTTGAACTGACTTCTGTCCTTAATGTGAGACTCCAATCCACCGATAAACTGCTTCACAACCTGGAAAGCAGATTGACTTATCAAGAAGTGGATAATTTCAATCAGCTGCTGTCCTATAGGATGCTGTTTGTGAGCAAGTGATGAAACCAGCAGGGTTTCCTACGCTGCATAGCCAGAGACAGAAATTGTGACAGAAGGAATGCTAGATAAATTCTATTTTAAACGCAAAGGAAACATTAGTTGCTCTACAAAACAAGTCTCATGTTTCACTTTGACTTAAAAGGGCTTTCCTCAACTCTCTGTTTGGCGAGAACAGCAACATTCAATGTGACAAGAGCTACATCCAAAAACATCTGCAGGATTCAAATTGTTGGCCTCGGGAGTTTCCTCCAGGTTTGTTAGCTGGAGAGGAGCATCACATTGTGGCAGCTTTCATGTTGTCAGCTCCCAGTTAATAGAAACCAAGCACAGCCTTCACTAGAAAGGTAAGGTAGAGATTTTGCTCACTTCAGAGTCTGTTTCTATTGAGCAATATTGCCAGTGAATTACTTTGATAGGGCATGGCAGTGGAAATGCAGCACTTGCATTTGGAATTGTGCAAAAGCAATCTCAGTGGTAAGACACACTGGCTGGTCATCGCTTCACTCCTGAGCGTTCAGAAGAACAATGAGACCAAAATGCTGGGATGAAAGCACTGAGAGGATTAGGGAACCTGGGCTGCACTTTCAATCTGGCTCCTGCCACAGCTCAATCAGTTACTTACACCTGGGTACGATGGGTGCTTCTCCAGGGCCACGCGGAGCTTCTTCTGGAAAGCCGTTTGATCCACAGCTAAGGGGAGGTTTCAAAAGAGAAGAAAGGCACTGACACGTTGGAGCCACATGACATCACAACGACTACATGAGACACGAGCTCTCAGGACCATCCCGCGTTATTTTGGCACTTGCTCTATCAGGAGCTCCACTTAGCAAAACCCTGGGCACTGTCACCACTTGTGCTCTCTCCACCCTGAGCTGCAGGCAGCCAGTAGCATAAAAAGCCTCGATGGACAAATCCCTGCTGTTTTTTGGTAGATAAAGACAAACCTATTCGAGACTGAACAAGGGATCAAGAAGAGGAGGAAGAATTCCCCAGGTTTGTTTCCTTTTTGTCCTTGAGAGTGCAACACAATCCTTACCAGATGTGCAACACAAAGGACCCTTTGCCTAACTTGTCAGAGTAGCCAGCTGCCAGCAGAAGCAATTCCATAACCACAAGCAAAGCCCATTCACATGATGTGCTGTGTAACGTCACGCAAATGAGCAACCCCAGCATCCCTGCCGTCCCAAAGAAGCCTTCTCCTGCCCAAACCACACTGCAGCAACAGGGCCAACACAGCTTCCTTGTATCATAGAGCTGGAACATGGAGAGCCCTGTGTGGGGCTGTGCCATTCAACTTTCAGCTGCTTAAATTATGACAAAGGTGAAGCAGCTTTATCCAGCACGTTTCCTCCATTTGCTGAAGGCCTTGTATGAACTACAGAGTTTGTTTTCCTGCTTCAGAGCTCTTGGCTCTGTAACTCAATGAAGCAATAGTTATTTCATCCATCTTGGTCTGACTAATAGAAAAATACTGTAATCATAAATGGAATGAGGTTAGATTGCATCTACCTCTAACAGTCTCTCAAAAGTCTTTTGGCTTGCCATGTACAAGCTTAAAAATCTACTTAATGAGTTTGGATGATACATTCAAGCAGGAACTACTTGATTCACAAAGTATAAAGCAAATAAGAGGCCAGATGAAAGTTTCCCCGAAATTGGGAAAAAGCTGTCCAGAGTGTTTTTTCCTCCAAAACTAACATGCATCTTTGCCTTATAACAGTCAACTTTGCAGGTTTTCACACACAAGTGGGCAGGTACCTATTTCATTCTGTCCTTCCCCAGCTTTCAGTATGATTCCTGATGTTCTCAGGAGCTCTTCAAATACTCCCTCATTCTCCAATCCACCTTGGGCAGGAGTCCTCTTATCAGAAACCCGTGGCTTCTTTGTTTCTGAGAAAACAAGGCAACCTACATCAAATTGCTGTGCAAAAAAGAGAAGCCCGAATCTTTCGTAAAAACAATTAATTTAAAATTAACCTTCACAAAAGTTACCCTTCAATTAACCTTAACAATGTAACACAAGAATACGCTTGCAGAACCAGATCAACAGCAGTGCTGTGAGGCTGTATTTGACAGCAGCTGTTAGCTAACCCAAACTCCAATGCAGTTCTGGGAAGCAGCCACCCCTGAGCACAAAACCACAAGGGAACACTTCTGGCTCTCCCCTTTTAGTGCTCCACAACCACAGGCACTTTCACTGCCTTACTCTCAAGGAAGACATATCTGCTAACAAGTGAATGGAGCACATACGTTCTCTGCCCTGAAAAGCACAGATTTAACCTGGGTTCTCCCACCGCATTTGCAACATGGGTATCCCATCCACCTGCTAAAGCAAAACGTTTTCCTTTCAGCCACATAAAGAGGCTGCTTTTTAGAGATATCCATTTTGAACAAATGGGATTGATCTATGCACTCCAAAGGCACTGAAGCTCCAGCAGGTTAACACTGACCAAAGGTACAAGGACTGAGAAAAGATATGGTGCACAGTACTGCTTTTAGTGTTGTTATTTTATTGTGATTTATAAAAATAATACTGTTAAAGATCAGTAGTGTTACTAATGAGCAGCTGCTGATGTTGCCAAAGCCATCATTACAACAGCTGCTGCCACTACCAGAGGGTTTCCCTTCACCACGGGGTACCTGAGCACCTACTCTGCAGGTCTGTCTTGGAACTCTCTTCAGAAACATCAATTTTAGACAACTTCCTTTTCGAAACCATGATAACAAATCCTTTGTCGCTGCCTGTAAGAACAGGGGAAAAGGTCAAGTGAGTTTAGGAGTTGTGATTTTAATTCAGTTTGAGATGAGGGCTTTTTTGTTGTTTTAGTTTGTTGTTGTTTGTTGGTTTTTTGTTTTGTAACAACTCTAGAATGAAGCAGCGAACAGTGAAGGGAAACGACCTAAGAATACGTTTCTCAGAGGCAGACGGATGGATCGGCTGAGCAGCATCACCCCGCTCTGTTCCATTGCCCAGTGCTGAGATGTCAGAGCTGTCACACCACGCTTTGACTTCGCGGAAGCTCTCAGCACGAACCCCTCCGACTCGTCCCCTCCGGGTAGGCGGCAGCGTTTAGGACAAAGAAACCGCTCTCGACTCACCTTCGCAGGTTACCGTTGAAGAAGAAAACCGTCTGCTCACAGCCCACCTCGCTCCAGCCGCCGCTCCTCAGGCGGCACCGGCGCTACTGGAGCTCGAGCTTCCCGCCTTTAGCGCGCGGTGACGTCCTTCCGGCGCACACCGGAAGCGGAAGCGGAGCCGGGGCCTAGGGCGGCCCGGAAGCGGCCGGAGCCCGAGCGGGAGCCGGGTCAGGACCGAGGCCGGGATCGGATCGGGAACGGAGTCACGATGAGCGAGCCCGAGCTGCTGCTGGATTCCAACATCCGTCTGTGGGTGGTGCTGCCCATCGTCTTCATCACCTTCTTCGTGGGCATGATCCGCCACTACGTCTCCATCCTGCTGCAGAGCGACAAGCGCCTTACGCAGGAGCAGGTGTCGGACAGGTCAGGCCCCGGCCCCGACGCTCTCCCGGCCCCACGGGTGCCGCCGCCGCCGCTCACACCGCCCCTCTCTTTTGCAGCCAAGTCCTGATTCGCAGCAGGGTCCTGCGGGAGAATGGAAAATACATCCCGAAGCAGGTACGGAGGTGCGTGGGCAGCTCGAGTCTCACAGTGGGAGCGCAGCCCCGAGGTGAGGTTGGGCACAGGGACCTCGCTGCCCCCTCCCTGGTTTGCCGCCTGGCTTGGCGTGCTGAAGTGAAACCTGCCTCCAAAGCGCCGCGCTGAACAGCTGCCGGTAAACCCGCAGGGATTGAGAGCTCAGGAGAATGAGGCAGTCGGCTGCTCGCATTTGCTCAGTTGCTGCCTAATCCGTGTACTGTAAAAGCTGTAAGTTGGGGTGGGGGAGTGGAACTGTCTGGTGTCGGTGCAGAGCCAACAGGAGCTTTGCACAAAGTGTGAAAGGTGGATTTTTCTGAAGATAACTTGTAGGATTATTTCAGGAATTTTGGCAAGACAGAAAGTTGGTACTTGGGGAAACATCAAAGTAATGAGCTTCAGGGCATCCAGATAGTGAAGTAGCTGAGAAAAACGTCATCAGAGAAAAACACTCCTGAAGTGTTTAAATGAGAAAGAAATATTGCTGTCCTTCATTGCTCACGATGCTGGCATTGTCTCTTTTTGTTTTCAGTCTTTCCTGACCCGGAAATACTATTTTAATAACCCAGAAGATGGATTTTTTAAGAAAACGAAAAGAAAGGTGGTGCCTCCTTCACCAATGACAGGTGTGTTACGGCGTGGTGAACACAGGTGGGAGGGAGAAGATGTCTTTTTCTGCAGAGGTAGCAAGGAGAACCACCTTGGCAAAGAGTTCAGTGAATGTGAGGGCGGAGGTGGGAAATGAGCTGAGGCTGGAGGGCAGAGGAGAGGGGAGGTAGCAGTGTGTTGGGTCGCTTCAGCATCGTGGTCTCGTGAGACAAGCCTCTCAGTACGGCCAGAAATGGGAGTCCTGCTGTCGTTTTTCTGCACCAGCTCCAGCAGGACCATCTCTAAATGCGTAACTCGTTATTGGCTCCAAAGACATCAATAGCAAATTGGCTGAGTTGTTCACTGCCGCTTTTTTAGGTAAGCAGCCTCACAGAGGGGCCCAGACTGGGATGGGACATATGCAGCAGAAAACAAAAGATGCTTTCAGCAGCAGCTGCTGCCACAACAGCTGCTCATCTTATCTTGCAAAATATTTGATGACTGACAGTAGAAACTAATAGATCCAGGTAGATAGCGGGGTAGAACTGTTAGCTCTCGTTCAGTTTTGTATTTGAGGCACCTCACCTTGGTGGAAGCATTATCTCCTGTCTGCCCTGCTACGTGATGTTCTGTGTTTGATTTGCAGATCCTACCATGTTGACAGACATGATGAAAGGGAATGTAACCAACGTGCTGCCTATGATCCTCATCGGCGGTTGGATCAACATGACGTTCTCAGGGTTTGTCACAAGTAAGAGTGTGGAATAACAGCCTGAGTGTCTGGCCATGGTGGGTGAGGACCTCTAGAGGAATCTGATCCCATACCTGGAAGCAGGGTGAATCTGGCTTGCTGCATGAAGCACAGTGATTGGCTCGTCCCAAAGCAAAGGAAGGAAGGTTATTCTCAGAGAACTGGACGTGATGACAAACAAAACAGCTTCTACTGGGAACAGGTCTAGTGGTGAAAAGAGTTATTTATTAAAACTTCTTAGACTTCAAATTGATGGAGGGGATTTTCCTCTTGTCCAGCAGTCAGTTACTGTGTCATGCAGAGTTTGCAAATCAAGCAGGCTCCCTTAAATGCACAGCTTTGTGGGTTGTTTTCCTTGTTGCTTATGCAGTAACTGTCTCCTTAACAAAAGACGTTTCCCTTCACTGAAACAACAGCTATGATGGTTTTAAAAGGTTTCATTTTAAAATAAAAATTAGAATGACTGCTTTTTCAAAAGTGTGCATTGTTATTTTATGCATTACCTTCAGACTGCACTAGATGTAATGAAAGAAACATCTACTGGCTTTGCAATCTCCTCTGCAAGTATGCTGTGTTACCTTGTGAAACTGGGTTTTGTTTTGTCCTTCAGCAAAGGTCCCATTTCCTCTGACACTGCGTTTCAAACCAATGTTGCAGCAGGGAATTGAACTGCTCACTTTAGATGCATCCTGGTAAGTGTGTTCTCCACACTCAAAGGTGAACATTTGGAATATTCTGAAAGTCTTAAAAACCCTTGAATAGCCTGTGCGTGCTTGTGAAGTCAAGTCACAAGCAACGTCTGTCACAAACAGGCATTTTTAAACTGAAGTCAGAAATGCTTATTCTGATTTTCCAGGGTGAGCTCTGCTTCCTGGTACTTCTTGAACGTGTTTGGACTCAGAAGCATTTATACTCTCATTTTGGGTCAAGATAATGGTAAGTCCTGTCACTTCTGGGGAGGAGCTGGCTTCTCCTTTCATTAAATGACTTGCTGTGGAAGCATTTTTACATTTCCAACCAAAAAGCCTCTCTCACTTCCTTGAAATTACTTTCCACTAGCCAGGTTTGCCATCACCTGGAGCAATTACTCATCTCTCCTGCACCAGCTGTTAGCTGACTGTTTGTAAACCTCTGTGGTAATTAACCCATGCTTTCCTTCTCATCAAATTGGAAAGTAGAAACTTCTGATCTTGGCTTCGATTTATTGCTGGCAAGGATAAGTTTTAACAAAGGCTGCAGTAGTCAGTGTTACATTCAAGGCAAGATGGTGATGGGGAATGTAAAGGACCATATTTTCCTCCATCTGCCTGCATATTTTAAGTAAATTTAGCTAAGATGTAAGGAACAGGGACAGGATGTCTCGTGAGAACTCACATGGCCAAGTTAATGTTTTGTTTCAGGGGGGAGAAGGGAGGAGATGAGTTCTCCAGCTTTCTAGTGCTGCCCAGAGGCTCTGTGCTCCAAGCACTGCTTAGTGAAGCAAATAAAAATAAACCTCTCATTTCTCTTTTTGTAGCTGCAGATCAGTCCAGGGTGATGCAAGAACAAATGACAGGGGCAGCAATGGCCATGCCAGCAGATACCAACAAAGCATTTAAGGTACAGTATTTTCACCTGCATTCCCTTTTGCTTTCCCCATGTCAACCAAGGGAAGCACTCTGGCTTCCTGTTCCTAAAATTAGAGGTGATAACTGATGAGGTATAATACAAGTTGCCCCAGGTTTGGCAGCTCTACAGCACACTGAAGCAAACTTGATAAGACAGGTGTATCTGATCTAAATCCAATTCAAATCTGCTTTTTTTTCCCCTCTACCTCTTTTTCATTTCAATGCAGACGGAATGGGAAGCTTTAGAACTGACTGATCATCAGTGGGCTTTAGAGGATGTAGAAGAAGAGCTTATGGCAAAAGACCTCCATTTTGAAGGCATGTTTAAGGAAGAACTACAGACCTCCATCTTCTGAATTTGAAAATGCTGTCTCTTCTTGTAAAAAAGATTTGAAAAGAAAACAGTCTAATGTATTTAGCAAAGCTAAGAATAAAAGAAACACAGCACATTCAGTACTGCAGTTACTTAACTGTCATTTGAGGCCCAAGTATGTGATATGCATATGATAAGCAGCGTGCCCTCAGGGACTCCAGACTTTCCCAAGAGCATCCCAAGGTGGCAGTGACCCCACAGCTGAGCCCCACCAGGCACGGCCAGAATATTCCCTTCCTAGGTTGTTCCTGCCTTGCAGCATTTGCTGCGCCAATGGCACAGCCACAAGGAGAGAAACAGCAGCGCAAGGCTGAGCACCACAACCAGCATTCATCCTGATGTGGGACAGGGTGTGCCAGCTGCTCCCAACTGCCTCTGCTTCCGTCTGGCAGTTCCAACTCTTTCACTGCCACTTGGCAGCACGTTCCCAAGGATCCCTGGCATCAGGGATGGGAGCACCACATCTGTGCAGTGGAGAGGCACGATCAGCGCGATGCCTGCCTCCCAGCACAGGTAAGGACCCTCCTCTGAGAGCTTCTGTCATTTCCACATTATTTGCCCCCCTGCCAGGAATCTTAGCTCCGAGACGTTTCCTGCTCTTTCCTCAAGAGGTTTCATTCCTGAATACTTCACTGACAGTACAACTGGTGTTTCAAGTCATCCTGTCCACGACATTCTTGCATGAGACGTTCCCCACAAGCCCCTGCACTGGCTCAGTCTCTGATCACCTCCACCTTAGCAAACTTCCATTTTGCTTTCCCTTCTTTCCAAGCTCTTGCTTTAATATTAAAAGGCAGAAATCAGCACAGGCTTTTGCCACTAACTTATTACATAAAACTTAAATCTGTCCTTCAACTTCCTCTTTATTTATTTATTTATTTTTATGTTGGTGAGGCACTGCAACAGGTTGCCCAGAAAGATTGTTGATGCTCTTTCTCTGGAGGCATTCCAGGAAAGGCTGGGTGGGATCCTGGACAGCCTGAGCTGGTGGGTGGCAATGCTGCCCACGGCAGGGTGTTTGGAACTAGATGATCTTCAAGATTCACTCCAACCTAAGGCATTCTTTGATTCTCACCAATTAGTTTATTCCTTCCCTATTTCTTTCTCTGCCTCATTTCCCAGAACACTGCACACCACCCTGCTTCACTGAAAAGAGAAATGTGCAACCACGTATTCGTTCCCCTGGAGCCACAGATATCCATGATGGGTTTCACATCACGCTTTGATGGTCAGCATTTCACAGTGCAGCTCAGTAACTGCCATTTTCTATTGAGGCTCTTCTAACCTTCTCTCAGGCTCTAAGACCAAGCCCTTCAGCTGTTACACTGCAATCACAGCACGAGCTTTAAGCCCCCTCTGCAGGATCTTAGCGACGACTCGACACGAGTTAGCAACTAAATCCAACGTTTAATGGTAGAGCAACATCCTATATAACCTTTAAGTTCACTTGCCACGTTCTCATTGGCTATCACTCATGTCCATCAACCTGTAACCGCCAAGTTCCCCACTAGGCCTACTTCCCACAAGGGCTTTCTCACACAGCACAACTTGCAGCTAGTTGTTTGCTCAAATTCCTTCATACTCTGAACACGGCCTTCTTTTTCAAGCCAGTCCTCAACACCCCTTCACGAGGTTTTCACCTTCACAACTGTCCTCGACCTGCAGGCTTGGTGACAATCCTCCAGATTCCCTGCATGTGCTAAATGCATGCAAGCCTGTTGCATTTAACTTGCTTCCTTGACCTTTTCCAGCTTAAGGTACTTATTTAGCATGCCTTGGGAAACCACAGTAGCTGCAGGACAACTTCAGTGGTACGGCCGCAAGCAGGGAAGCTACGGGGCAAAAATGGCCGGAAGGAATGCAGCCTCCCCCAGATCTGCAGAGGGATGATGAGAAAGGCACAACTGAGGCTGCCCAACGTTGCAGAAAGGCAAGGACCACCACAGACCAGCACAGCACTGCAGTGGAGAAAAAGCAAACGTTGAGAACAAACTTTCAGATTGAGACAGCACTGCACTGCTCCCCTGCACGGCACTCACTGTGCTCCAGCTGAAAGAGCTCCTGCTGCAGCAGGCATCCCCACAACCAGCAGCTGCTCAACCTGCACTTCAGGCCACTTAGCAACAGACAAACACACAACAAAACCCAGTTTCAGTGCAAACCACTCTTTAATTTTCCTCTTCATACAACGCATCCAACCACTTACAAAGTGCTACTCCAAAAAAACAGGTCTGGTGTTACGGCAGACTCACACCAGCCAAAGCCATCAGCTCTGAGACAGAGAATAAGAGCTGGGCCACTCTTTCTGCAGTACAACAGTGTCTGCTCAGCATCTGAGCATCAGAGATTGAGCCCCACTGATGAATTCTCAGTGTCAGTGCAGCAAAGGAGGTAAAGAGGAGAACAAACTTCAGATGGAAGTTGCCTTTACAGAGCTATTTTGCTCTCCTCTTGCCTCTCCCACCTCTCCATTTTGGAATGCCCATGTGGTTTTCTTTCAGGGTAACCTAAGAAATGCCAATCAGAATAATTCAGTGCAGTGCTACAGTTAAAAACTGCTTTGGGGATACTCCCCTCAAAACAGAAATAAAATACTAAGAGCTGTAAAAAAGAAATCCGAGACAACCCACAAACCAGAACAGCGGAAACAACTAAGCAATTCTGATCTCTAAATTCAACTTTTAACGCTTTAAAAGCAAAACTCCGCAGAAGGGGGTAATAATACTTATGTGCCAGCTAGAGACAGTCCTTCCTTCTTCTCATGCCCTGGCAGGGAGCCATGGGGGGCTGCCCCCCCTACTTCCCTTTGCTTGGAGGACAGACAGAGCAGCCTTTGCACAGCCGCAGCACAGCGTAGGTCCAGGGACTGGTGCACGATGACCTCCTATGGGGTTTGTTGCTCAGAGCAGAGCAAAGAGAGCTGAGCTGCTGTGGTCAGAGTTAAACAACGACTGTTCAACACTGGCAGCCAGAGAAGACAGCTACAGTCAGCAATGAAGCCACAGGAACTGCGCAGAGAGGACAGAGCGACTCCAAGCACACATCTCACAGGAGGGACAGTAGTTTCTCTTGGCCTTTTGTTCTGCCAGTGCACCTGGCTGCAAGGAGGACCCCTGCAGTGTGGTTTACCACCTTGAGCTAAACATCTCCCTCAAAAACAGATGAAAACTAAGTTTTTCTAATTTTTTTAATGAGAAAAAGACAGTTCTCCTCTGAAGACTAACCTGATCTGCTGCTCACAAGAATCCTCATACAAGAGGAAAGCTGAACTCCTGCAAGAAACAGAGCCAGTCAGGTAAAGGTGGAAGAGAGGAAGAGCATTTCCCAGTTGTATTAGAAGGATGGAGCAAAACAGAGTAACTATGGCAAAAGGACACACCAGACAAGAATTGCCAACCTTGCAGATTCGGTATTCATGTTTACAATCATAGAACAGCTTGGGCTGGAAGGAACCCGAATGATCATCTGGTTCCAACTCCTTCTGTAGGCTGGCTGCTCCCCTCACCAGCTTGGGCTGTCCAGGACCCCTCCAGGGATGGGCATCACAGCCCTGGGCAGCAATGCCAGCTCCTCACCACCCTCCAAATACCGAACCTATATCTCCCCTCTTAAAGCCATTCTCCTTTGTGCTGTCACTAACAGAGGCTGAGTAAGAACTGCCCACAAGAGTCTCAACTGCATCCACAAATGAAAGGACGCAAGTAAGAGAAACTTTGGTGTTGAAGCAAGAGAATCAAAGTACAATGGCAGAGGTGGTAACAGACAAGCCAGAAGTATAAAGATTTGAATTGAGAGATTCCAGAAAGGGTACACAAGCCTCACTGACGCAAGCAGAGCCCGTCAGCAACTCCACAGGGTTGACAGGAAGCCCCTGCATCAATTCACAGAATCCTACCCACTGTGCTCCTCCGTGGGCCCCACCACACTCAGCTGTGACCTCTGATTCAGGCTATACTACCCAAACCCCAGCTACAGACCTTAACCCACGTCCCACAGCCCCGGCTCAGCCCTGACCCTTGCCTCAAGCCACACAGCTCAGACAGAGTTTAAAAAGAACTTTATCAAAGCTCCAATATATATTATTTTTGGCTTCTAAATATCTGAGATTCAGCACCTATTCCTGGCTTTCCCGTGCTGTTTTGTAACCCCAAGCACCAAATCTTTCAGTGCTAGATTTTCTGCTCGACTCCTACAGAAGAGAGAAAAAACTTCAGATGCCTCAGAGGTGGCTTCAGGAGGGACCTCTAACATGGTGGTCGAGTGCTGGAGGAGGTGCTTAGTTGGTATCCATGCCATCACACTCTTCTTGGGGAGGAGATGGGGCAACATGTTCCTCATCGTTTCGGCGCTGATAAAACAGCACATATGCAGCTTTTGTCTACCAAACAAAAAGACAAAGAATCTGAAAGATTGAAATAATCCACGTAGGCTGGCTAGAAACACAATGCCCAAAGCAAGGAGCAGCCCTTAGCACAAACTCAGATTAGCTGCAGGCCAAGTACTCACCACTATTTGGTCTTCTGAAGCCAACGATACACTGCTGTCATCAAAGTAGTACCACTTGCCATTCACCTTGTTCTTTGCATAGGCAGTGTCTGTTGGGAGAAGAAATTGCAGCTCAGGGAAGCATCGCACCAGTGACATTCAAAACTCAAACCAACCATGCAAGGCTGTCCAAGAGTTAGCCTTCCACAGTTTCATGTTTGACACTGTACTAGAAACTTTTAGTGAGGGCTGCTGTAAATCACAGTGCACAGAGCCCTCCTCCCATCCCCCCTGCATAAGTCCTTGCAGGAAAGAACAGGAAAAAAAAAGAGACTCACAGTGGCCTACTCCCATGGCTCCATAGTGATTGGAAACTGCAATGAGGTCGTAGACATAGGAGCTTCCTCTTGGGTCACAGACAAACTCGGACATGTTTAAACCCCTGGAAGGAAATCCAAAAATATCAGTATGCCAACAGTCTGCACTTTCACATCAGTGCAGCTCTGTTAGCACGCAGCGCTGGTGAAGCTACGTGTTGTGCTCTCATGTTGAACAGTTATCAGCATAGAGACCCAAACATCGGCCGTCCCACACA